GCAACTGCATCATGCTAATAATATTTTCTCGATCTAGTGATTTCTATGAGCCTGGTGTGGATCCCAAGCAAGTTCAGGAAGAAATCAAACAATTGCTCGAAACGATTAGACCTGACACCGAAATTGCCAAGGAAAAGCGGGAAGGCACCCCAGATGCGCTTAGATACACTTTGCTGGAACATCAGAAACTGGGGCTTGCCTGGATGAAGACCATGGAAGAGAGCGAAAAGAAAGGCGGTATCCTGGCCGACGATATGGGTTTGGGAAAAACCATACAAGCCATTGCTCTTATGGTGTCCCGCCCGTCTACGGATCCAGAGCGGAAACCCACATTGATTATTGCTCCTGTCTCTTTAATGCAGCAGTGGAAGCGAGAGATTCAGAAGGCTCTCAAGCCGGGTAGGCATCAACTTTCCGTCTATGTTCTACACGGTGACAAGCGAGGGGTCAGCTATAGAGACCTGAGAGCCTACGACGTGGTCCTCACCACCTTCGGAACCTTGTCCTCGGAACTGAAGCGCAGGGAAAAGTATGACGAACTACAGTCGGCTGGAGCGAACGAAGAAGCTTTATCCAGCACTTTGTTGAAGAACCTGCCATGTCTCGGCCCGAGCAGTCTGTGGTACCGAGTCATCATAGACGAAGCTCAGTGCATCAAGAATCGAAATACGAGATCCGCCCAAGCATGTTGCCGTCTCAATTCCACCTATCGTTGGTGTATGAGCGGAACTCCAATGATGAATACTGTCGAAGAACTACAGTCATTGTTGAAATTCCTTCGAATCAGACCTTATTCCAGCATCGATCGTTTCAACAGAGTAAGCATCGATGATCACGCCGTGTTTGGCTAATTGAGAATTGAACGTTGACCAATTATTTTAGGAATTTACCCGACCACTTAAGGGTCCACCTGGCGAGCCTCGCGATAAAGCTATGAAACAACTGCAGGTTCTGCTGAAGGCGGTTCTGCTTAGACGGACCAAAACATCGAAGATCGACGGCCAGCCAATCCTACGGCTCCCACCCAGGGTTTCGGAGAAGGTGCATGCTGTGTTCAGCGAGGATGAACAGGCGATCTACGATGCGCTTGAGAGCAAAACTCAGGTTCAGTTCAACAAGTATCTCAGGGCTAACACCGTTGGAAGAAACTACTCCAACATCCTCGTTCTGCTTCTTCGGCTTCGTCAGGCTTGCTGCCACCCTCACTTGATGACTGATTTTAGTGTCGAGGTCAATGCTGCTACTGACGAGCTGGATCTTGCTGCCAATGCGAAAGCTTTCGGAGACGAGGTTGTGGTCCGTCTCAAAGAGAACGAAAACCTTGAGTGCCCCATTTGTATCGACGCAGTTGACAATCCCATTATCTTTTTCCCATGCGGTCATAGTGCTTGTGCCGAATGTTTCTCTAGGATGACCGATCCCTCACTTGCCGTGCAGCGTGGTGAAGATGGTGCAGCGGAGATCAAGTGTCCGAACTGTCGCGGCCGTGTCGATCCGAAGAAGGTCACCGACCATCTGACGTTCAAGAAGATTCATTCTCCGAATGCGGATGATCCCGATGAAGTGGCGCCCCTTAAGCCTCTTCGCGACGAAGAAGATGATGAGGATCATGACGATAGCGATGACGACGACGACGACGACGACGCTGACGATGATGACAGCTTGTCTCGATTCATCGTTGATGACGAGGATGACCCAGCATTAGTCAGAAAATCCAAGACAAAGAAGGGAAAGAAAGCCAGGAAGACCAAGAAGAGCCTTGCGGAACTCAAGAAGGAGGCATCGAAGAATATCAAATCTAAACAAAAGTACCTTCGCCGATTGGAGAAAACCTGGGTCACCAGTGCAAAGATTGAGAAGACTCTTGAAATCCTTCAGGAGATTCAGGACCGAGAGGATAGCGAGAAAACCATCATCTTTAGCCAGTTCACATCGCTGTTGGATCTCCTCGAGGTCCCAATCGTGCGTCGAGGTTGGGGCTATCGCCGCTATGACGGCAGCATGAGACCTGGTGATCGAAATGCCGCCGTCCTGGAATTCACCGACAACCCAGACTGCAAGATCATGCTGGTTTCCCTGAAAGCCGGTAACTCGGGCCTGAACCTCGTCGCTGCGTCTCAGGTCATCATCTTCGACCCCTTCTGGAACCCCTACATCGAGGAACAGGCCATCGACCGCGCTCATCGCATTGGACAGATGCGCCAGGTTCAGATCCATCGAATCCTTGTACAAAAGACAGTCGAGGACCGTATCCTTGAACTTCAGGAGAAAAAGCGCGAGCTCATTGAAGGTGCTCTGGACGAGAAGGCGTTGAAGAAGGTCTCTCGCCTGGGAACTCAGGAACTGGCCTATTTATTCGTATGCGAGCCCATTCCCCAACCCTTTTTACTAGAGACTAACTGAGCTTTCTACAGGGCGTTCGGTAACGGCTCCTCATCTTTCAATATGCGGCGGTATGGCGTTGGCGGCATTCTGTGTCCATTTCGGCTTTACTTCAGATACGATACCCTAGATCGCTACCTTTCCCCTGCTTATTTTGTATTTGACATCTTTCCTATCTACATTTCGGACAAGTTCGTGTTTATCATTACGACATCGGCATACTCAGAGCAGAGCAGATAGAATGCAGTCTTGACCCTTAATCATAGATCTCATGCTACGTCACAAATTCGTTGCTCACGTACATCCATAATGAATACGCCAATCTGTATAGTGTTCAAGTTCCTAGATGTTGTATACAACGGGTTGAGACACGTACTAAGATAGTGCTGTTCTCTTGACCTAATCCAATAAAAGAAAGCCTATGACGTCACCCACAATAAATTGATTAATTAGAGGTTATTCCTTGGAACTCGAGGGGATCGACAAGATACCATATGAGGCGTATGTTTGCTACCTTATGGATGTCATAGATCACTCTACCTAGGTAGTATGTTTATTTGCCCTGCAGTGGCTTACGCTGTAAGGCTATGTATTGGAATAAGAGGAGTAGACAACTCCCTTGAAGCAAAGAGACGGTATGGAAACTTTTTTCGACCATCCGTAGATGGCCCAATCTTGTCAACAGATTTGCTTTTTGTTGTCGTAAATAGAATTATCGTTCGCGAAAAAGAAAAGAAAAAAAGGGAGCAAAATTGTGATAAGCGTCTAAACTACTAGTTGTGTAAGATTCCAATGCATGACAGTGCCGACCTTTCCCTTCAGGCTATTTCCACCGACCGCTATCGTTGTATCGTAAATCGAGGCATGGCGTAACGAATCCGAATGACCGGGAGGAAACCGCAGGCATGCATGAATGACCGCAATTCGCCCCCGATCCGATCTGAGCGATACGCTTACAGATCCGCATCCTCCTCGTCGGGCAGAGGCATGGCAGCGGCACTCTCCATCTCCTTCTCGTACGCAGCCATGAGCTCGGGGTTGACAGCGACCTCAGGAGGAGCAAGAGCAGGGGCAGCAACGAATTCCTGAGTCGGCGTGTTAGTTGGAAGTGCAAGCACAAGTCTATATAGGCGCGGAAAACTCACCAGGGCGGCGTTGCCGACCAGCTTGCGGGCGAGCCACAGGAAGGGCTTCTCAAAGTTGTAGTTGGACTTGGCCGAGATATCGTAGTACTGGAGGTTCTTCTTGCGGTGGAAAGTGATGGTCTTGGCCTTCACCTTGCGCTCCTTAACATCGACCTTGTTACCGCAGAGAACGATGGGGATGTTCTCGCAGACACGGACGAGATCACCTGTTTTGTGATGATCAGTATGGCCATCACTCTCCGTTTTAAGTTGACAATAACTTACGGTGCCAGTTGGGGACGTTCTTGTACGTGATACGGGAGGTGACATCGAACATGATGATACCGCACTGGCCGTTGATGTAGTATCCATCTCTCAGACCGCCGAACTTCTCCTGACCGGCTGTGTCCCATACATCGAACTGAATCATTCCCAGGTTCTATCGCGAAAGGTTAGTCGGCTCGAGGAAGCTAAGTGGAACGATAGAGCGGGGTTGTTGGCGGGGCATACGGTGGTGAAAGTCAGAGGGTGCACTTCGACACCGAGAGTTGCGATGTACTTCTTTTCGAATTCACCAGTAAGGTGGCGCTTGACGAAGGTGGTCTACAGGATATGAATGTTAGCGATCTCGCAAAAAATCTCGACACTGGGTGAATTTTTTCCCTCTCGTTGGCGGCGGGGGCGATGAGGAAATCAAGTCCACGCAAGTAGGTCAATGAGCGTCGACCCTTCGTAAAATGAAGGCAGAGCAAGATGCCGCATGTCATAAGAGTAAAAAGCAATATGAGGATGATTTTACTTGCCTTACCAGTACCACCGTCACCAACAAGGACGAGCTTGAAGGTTGGTGTAGTCGGAGCAGCCATGGCGATGATTCTGTGACGTTGAAAATGGAAAAAAGTCAAGTCGCGAAAAAAATCACGCTGTATTTATACGATGGAAAGTCGTCAAAAAATATGCGACAGTTGATGGAGAGAAGTGTGTTCAACAGAACGGTTGAAGCCAGGGAGAAGCAGAGCGAAAGACTATTCTGGTGATGGAATTTTTGCCCCGAGTCGGTCACAACAGGTTGAAGTCACGTGTTGTTGCCTGAGGATGACAGTGCCCCGCGAGATAGCGGTCCAAGGACGCCTGAGGGCACGTTCAGCCAGTAAGTCTACGAAAAACACTCTTTGCAAAGTACGATTTTCCCACTTATCTCTCTTGATTTGTCCGTTTTACATCTTTTACAGATTAGGCACGAAGGTACCTTGGATTTCCATGCATCAATTATTAATACATTCTTTCTGGGACTTCGGATCTCCGCTTGCAGCCTAAACAAACAGTAACGCCAATTTATGCTTGATCCTACCATCGACTCGATCATAAAAGCCATGCCGCATTTCTCATCAGAGTAGAAGCAGAGGGAGCAAAAGCACGAGCAGACGTCATGACGAATGCATTTCCTCCTGCTGTGCCATTGAGCCAGTGTCAATCCGGCCTGCGGTTCTCCTGTCACAGTGGAACTAGATGACAACCTAACAAGCCACGGCCTCCCCAGTCACGGCGTGGTATGAGTTCTAAACTCAGCTCAGTAGTGTTATTGGACCCAGGTCCGTCCTTTCTTATGATCTTGACGACGATCATGCGCTGCGTAAAGTCAGCCAGGTGTAGCTTGAAAAGAGGATGCGGCCACTTACTCCTTCGTTCTGTTGCACTGTTTGTGCTACCCTAGATAGACGTTCGTGATTGATCCAGTTCACATCTCCGAAGCTTCGTATGGTGTCCCCGGCCTTCAACCCAGCCTGATCTGCAGGACTACCGGGCACGACGCTGTTCACCTTGGCAAACGGCGTCCCAATCATTTCAGCATCTGATAAACTGTTCGCACCCAAGTCGCCTCGTCGAACTGCAGTCCCGTTCGTACTGCCAGAGGCTTGCGCACGTTGAAGACTGGCGAAATGCTCATGAAGACCCTTTTCGAGATGTTTCATTACTTCTTTGTGGTCGGTTCGCAGGTGAATTATTCGTGCTCGTGTCGTGCGGACTATGCTTCAGATTTAGTTTCCGTACCGCATATGGAAATCCGATAGACCTTACTCTGCGCGACGTCGATATCGTCTCGTGGAAAACCATCAAAGGTCGTCAGGGACGTGTTCATATTCACGCCATGCTGGAAAAACACATTATCAGTCCCAACATCCAGAGACATCTGGGTAAATCGGGCGACTCACAGACGTCAGCACGGCGCTAAGGGCCGACAGTTCTGCTTCGATACGTTCCTTCTCTTGCATCAGGTCCACCATGGACAGCTTGGACAGGTCGCGGGGAACCCCTCCGGACGTCGGTCCAGAGGGTACAGTGGGAGCGTGAATATTATCGTTCATGGGTATTCCCATCCCTTGATGACGAGGTATAGTTAGACCATCGTAGTGTTGTTTGGTAAGTTGTTGGTTGTAGTCGAAGAGAGCTAACGGATGGATGACAGTGGCGGGTCCACCTTAAAGATAAGTCGATAACCCGCGGGGTCGGAAAGGCTCCTGTGCTGTTCTTGGCACATCAAGCTTCCAGTTTCCACTGTCTAATTGTCTACGCTGGAGGGTATAGGTAGATTCAATCTGTCAAAGAATAAAATGGATTCTCCAAATACTACTGTGTTCGTATTCCTTTCATGTGTTTTTAATCAACCACGAAGGACGCTATGAATGTCGTCGCAGTGTTTTCCTGCTATGGAGATGATGGGCAGAAACGATGCAGAACCGCAAGGCAAACAGGAGGTGGATGGACAGTATAGCATTACAGAAGGTCAATCTTCAGTCCTGCAGATCCTACAACGGGCGTCTAGAGTTATGTTTTGTTTGTCATTGCATTGCTTCCTCTGCGCCGGTCGCAGCTTCCATAAAGCTGATGACTCCTGCCGGGCCTACTGGTTTCTGCACGCCTGCACTATGATCTTCGAAAAAAAAGACTTCTTGAACTTGTCATTCAGACAGTTCATACGGTAGTTCTTCTGGATTAGTCTCGCATGCTCACGCAAATATGGAAGAGTCCAAGGAGGATACCCTATCCGAAACACCGCTTCTTCTCGTGGAACCTCCGAACGCAGAAGTGAAAGTAGCGGATGCGACTGATTCAGTTCACGACTCAGGAGGACGAGCAAATGATTCAGGATCATTTAGGAGATGGTTTGAAGAGTTCTGGCTGAAGAGGAGTCTTCCATCTCCGGCCCAGAAACACGTTGACGGTTGGCCCGAGATCCTGTTGACCAAGTGCTCCAACGACGACTGGTCACCTCACTGTGGCCTTCAAGATCAGCAATGGGAACAATTATCAGCCCATTCGTCACATCTGGGGATTGTCAAAACAGCGAGCTTCACTGACCAAAGCGTAGGGAGATCAAGGGCTGCAACACAGAGCACCTTCAACCCGAGCATACATTCAGGCGGTCGTGGTTCAATCGAGAGTTTGAGGCCTACTGTCAGCCCTTCGATATCCCATGCCGCGCTGCTTCACTCTCTTGAGAGGCGTCAAATACTTCGGGAGATCATCACTACTGAAACTGACTACGTGTTCGGGTTGAAGGCCCTTGCTGATGTATGCACTAAAGCGGTATCTCGTGCAATTGACCTTGAAACTGACCTTTTGCCGTCAATCGACCAGGTACTTCTCATTTGTTCCGTCAGACCCCGGATATATCGCAACGTCCAACAGATTCGAGAATTACACCAGACCTTCTTGGCAAGGGCTCGTGCCGTGAGCCCCAAGTCCGTTTCGGCTGCATCCGAGGTCGATAAGCTGTTCCCTCAGGGCGTTGCTAAAGGCTTGAGGGCGATTGACTTGAAACACCTTAATAACCTTCAAAGCAGATCCTTGAGGAAGCGGAGCCTGAAGACATCGATAATAGCCCACCTCAACTCATTGGCTGCGCAAGGTTCGGAAGCCTATGACATCGCGCACGAGATTGCTGAATTGGTATGTGTCTGCATCCAGGCTGACGATTTATTGTGCTAACTCTTTTTGGTGCAGTCAAAGTCCTTCAAGCTCTATGAAGACTTCTGTAGCAATTTTGAACTCCTCTTGCAAGACGTGAGCCTTCTGCGTGGGTCAATACCGAATTGGGAAACCTTCGAAGGAGGCATAGAATCTCTTTCTAAGTCTGTGACGTCCTTAGAGAACAAGCTCTTGACAGATAATAGATCAATGTCTTTGGGTGATCTCGTCGTCAAGGTTTTTCCAACCCCAGCTTCCAGATCCGCCATCTCTGTGCTAACTAGCCTTAGCCAGTTCAGCGGCTTTGTAAGTATGAGCTGTTCTTGAGGGAACTACTAAAGTGCACGCCGATCCAAGACGACCCGTTGTCGCATGACAAAATCAAGGAAGTACTGGATGGCCTTCGCCCAACAATCGAGCGAGTCAATCAAGCCAATGAAACTCTCAAGCAAAGGGAACTCATTGCAAAAACCCTCTTGCTGAGAGAAAAGCTGGAATTGCCAGAGCCGGTGAGCCACTTAGTCACCTTTCATAATCGTAGAGATTACTGACAAGCAGGGATCTGGCATGCAGGACATTGTTCACGATATCTACCTACAATTGGGACCCATCAAACTATGTGGCGTTCTTCATGCGACCTACCAGTTGCCGGCAGATATTGTGGGTGAATACGTCGTCTGCGCTCTGTTTGAGAGCTATCTTGTTCTGGCTGCTTCAAGAGACGGCTGTTCAAGACTCCGAGCTGTGGCGTGCTTGTACGTCCGTGATCTAAAGATCGACACCTTGAGAAACGGGAGAGGTAAGCGGCATACATCCCGACCCCTTTTAACCTCTTTCCCTGTCCACGGCTCACGCTTAATCTGGATACAGGGCTAAGTTGCTACGAATGCTTGTTCTCATGGAAGCTAATATTTGAACATCGAAATAATCAGTACGAGCTGGTGTTGAGCGCGTCATCGGCGATTGAAGAGAAGCAATGGAAAACCGAGATGCTTAAGGCGGCGGCGGCATTGACCGAAGTTTCGACAGCAGGACAATCAGAATCAAATCTATACTCCTTTGAGGTGCTAGGTCTACACCCACTCGAATGCTCAACCGGTTTAACACCTCTCTTGTCCCGAAAATCTTCCATCCACTCATTGGCCACTTCTGCCAGTAAGGCGAATCTGCAACATATTGTGATCAGAAAAACGCACAAGCCTGGAGAGGCATCGCCTGAGGCTGATGGAGAAATCGAACGCCCAAAGATCCCCCCTTGGGCCTCAGCGCTGGTCCTGACAACAAGAAGACAAGATAGAGTTGATCTGGAACGATTCATCTTCAACATATATACAAAGAGCTCACTGCCTTATCCTGGAATGCCTCCGTCCAAAGGCAAGGACTTGCTCAAGCCTAGTAAGCTCATGGTAGCTATCCGGGAAGGGGTGTACAGACGTTCTAGCTCCGGAGGCCTTCCAACCGCTAGGCGTCCTGCCATAGTACTTGCTCCTGCAAAAACCAGCAAAAATGAGCAAATCGGCCGGACTGAGAAGGGTAGAACTGACGAATTGCCTGTTATTGAGGACAAGAAGAAGGCTGCCTCCCCTATTAGTCGCATGGGGACGGTTCGACGAGCTCTAACTGTCAGGTTTCAGGCCAGACAGAAGTCTGCTTCTCATGCTGATCTGCCTTTGCAGTATAAGGGGCAACCAGACCAACCTTTTCCCAAGGTGTCAGTACGAGACATCTTCAACTCTGTATCTCGGAGAAGCTCAAAGAGAGGTTTGCATTTAGCTTTGAGCATGGATGGTGGAGCACAATGATGCAATGCAAATTAAAAGTACGACAGACACGCCATGGATCGCTGTCAGGGATACAGAAATAGTATACTATTATTATTATGATCACTTTTCGTTCTCTTTGTTTCGATAGGCAGTGGGGTTGCCGGGCTAGTGTGGGTAGAGGACTGGGGATAGGCATGGCTGGTATTGCTGCACCCTTGGCGAGGCGTAATGAAATAGCATAGGAGACTACGGACTAGCCTAAGCTCAAAGTTGAATAACAGTGACAACTGAGTGAATTACATGATGAAAGGTCTCCCCACCAGGCTTCCCTGTAGCAGTCAATCGGCTGGGTTGCGCTGGGCAATAGCGGATCCGTCAACAGTTGAATGGAGGAAGAAGTTGTAACTGGGAGGGACCGATGACGTCGGAGCGGTTGATGGCTGCGCAGGTTCCTCAACAGATGACCTTATATAAAGAGGACTCGGTCTCCAGCAGCCGTAATCAATAATTGACTTCAGCTGAAACAACATTCCAATTCCTCTCTGACAAGCATCATATTCTTTTCCCCTCTTAGCCTAGACGCTTCGTTCTCATACTGTGAGCTTCCTCCCCGCATAGCACCTTAGTGACGTCATCAACCATCACCTCACGCGATCAACCTTACAACCTCTCGAACTTCCCAGAAGAGTGACTTTTCCTTCAGAAAGCCATCTCCTTCATAATCAATTCTTCATACAATTCTTCATACCTCGACTTCATACTTTAAACATCACAAGAAACCAAACAAAATGCGTGCCAACGAACCCAGCTCCAAAGTCTTCTACAAGGGTACCTCGGACGACTTCATCGTCTTCGTCGACGACACCACCGCCCTCAAGAACTGGAAGAACGACCGCTCAATTCCCCTATCCGACGTGGTAAACGGGTTCAAGATCTTCGTTACTCACAAGTATGCCTATGCCTAATTGGTTTTGATTTGATTCCACCTATAATCCGTATGCTAACAGCCGGCGAACTGCAGACACGGATCCCAGGGTGTGCTTGATGGCGCCAGCAACGCCAGCCTGGACAATGAGTTCGGGACTCACAATATCGACGAATGCATTGTGAAGATCTTGGAGAAGGGGGCTTTCCAGTCCTATACTGTAAGTTTCCTTCCTTTTTTTCCCGGGTCTCCAGTCAAAGGGCGGAAGCTGATTCATGGACCAGCAAAACGAGCACCAGGCCGATACGAACCCGGCCAATGGCCCTGCTTTCCGGTAGATTGGGGTCGTTGTTGTGGTTGTTCTTCATGGGTTGAATTGTGGGGTTAAGCGGTTTGGCTTGGCCGCTATGCTGCACTACATTCTATGAGCGATGATGATTTATGGGTTTTCTTCACCCGATAGGAGTGATGTATCTTATGCCAGGCTATTACCATATTTCAATGAATCGGATAGCGGGCTGAGCTTGCTGTCCTGATATCAATACATGACTTTAGACTTTGGGTCAACTGGGTTGATTTAATCGTCGTAGATCATTATTGTGTGTCTATATCCCTCATTGTAGTAGTAGAAGAGTCTATATGCAATCATTGGCTAGGCAGCTTGCCCGCAAGCGCCTTACGGCGCTGGACAACCCAACTTCCCAATTCATTCCACACAGCC